TTCTCTCTTTCCTTTCTCTCTTTCCTTTCTCTCTTTCCTTTCTCTCTTTCCTTTCTCTCTTTCCTTTCTCTCTTTCCTTTCTCTCTTTCCTTTCTCGCTTTCTTCTCTCTCTTTCCTCTCCTTTTTGCTTTGTTTGCTCTCTTTCCTCTTTTTCTCTTGTATTTTATTTTTATTTCCGATTTTTATTTTTATTTATTGTGTTTTTATATATATTTTTTTTTTAAATTTATTTTTTTTTTTGTTTTTTTAATATATATATTTTTTTTTAAATATAATTTATTGGTTTTATTATTATTATTATTTAGTATATTGAGATAATATAATCACAAGGATATAAAATTATTTAGATGTTTTTATTAGATTAATTTTGTTTTATAGAATATATATATATATATATTTTAATGAACATATATTTTTGTTTTTTTAATTATTCTTTTTTATGATTTATTTTTCTTTAGTTTTTTTTATTTTTATTTTTTATTAATATAATTAAAATTATAATATAAACTAAATACATTTTTTTAAACATTTTTTTAACATTCTTGAAATTTTGTTTGTATTTTTTTTAATTGTTTTGCTAATCACTGACCAATCTCGGATATTTCGGCAAATTGGATTTGAAAATTATTTGGGCTATCTAATTTGTGCCAAACGCATCCAATCACACAAACAAAAATATTTGTATCCCGTGCGGAAGTTAAGAACGAGAAAAATATTTTTTTTATTCAAACCGAATTATAAATAACAATATAATCAATTATTGCGACCATTCCAAAATTTATCCTTATTTAAATATATAAAATTACAAATAACACAAAATAGAAGCCGAAAATATAAATACCTTAATATACCTTATCCTATTCATAAAGCTTAAACGTATGGCCGTCAACGCAGCGGCGAACCGGGCCCTGGCGCCGGAGGGCTCAAAGCTCCTGAGCTGGAGACGCAGGTCATCCACATAGACACATATTCATCATACCTACCTACAAACACATATCATATCAATCACAAACAAAACAACCCTCAACATCCGTGAATTCCAAAAAAAATATCCACAATTCATATCTTTAAACACACCAACCTCTCATACCACACCAACCATAACTCCCAATTCAACAACAAATCTTTTAGTTTAATTCATTATTTTCGGTTTCTTCTATAAAAATTTCTTTCCTTCTGTTTCCTTTCTATTAACATCTATTTCATACATTTAATATATATAAATATATTATTTAATTTATTTTAATAGAATTATTTAAATTCAATAATAATCAACAAATAAAACAAAAAAATATTATATATATAAACATATAAAAATACATATTTAAACCATATCTATAATCCTAATTTCAAATTAACAACCAATTACCATTATATAAAATATACATATTGTTTATTTAAATTATACCAATCATAATTTTATTTTCATTTAATGTTTCATTCTTATAATTTTCTTTAAATAAATCAACACCAATAAATAATTTAATATTATATTTTTAATTCACTATATATATAAATAATATTATTTAAATACATAATTAATTAAATCCACTTATTTGAATATATTCATTCTTCATTCTATATATATAAATATATCAAATATATAAATATATAAATATATATAAATATATATTTAACAAAATCCCATATTTCTCATTTATTAATTCTATTTATTTCAAATATATGTCTTTCTAACATAGATATTTCACATTTTCAAAAAAGGTTTCTACAAATTGTAGCCAAATTGCTCGATATGCAGCAGTGCTGCCAGCTTGACCGGCGCGGCCAACCAATTTGCCGCATATCGGTTTTGACCGACGCTTCATCGGCTCTGGGCCTTTCGAGACGTCGCCCGGGGCATCTGCCCCAACTAAGACCTTGTCACCAGCCAGCCTGCCACACAGTATGTCATGTGCTGAGACTCCCAGAAGTCGTCCTGCAGACCCAGCCGATTTCGAAACCAAATCATGCTGAAGTTCTCGGCCCGCTTGCTGGCGTCACTGTTGCGGCCGCTGCAAGGGACTTCTTGCTACTGGCATATACGGCGCCGACCCTTTCCTTTCCCCGTCCCCGCGACGGTGTCACCGGCCATTTTCTCAAGACAGGTGACGGTGGGTCGAGTGAGATGGGTTTGCACGGGAACAAATGAGTCCTGATCTGAACAACGCCCGGCCTGGCAGGTTGAACAAGTTGCTGAATGCGTTGGAGGCCATGTGTCACGTCGTAGCTCGCGGACCGCGGGAACAGATTGACTTTGCCTTGGTTTGGGGCCCAGGCAATGGGTTGGAGTGATGAGTGTGAAGATCACCAACGACAAGGTAGGTATGGTTTCTCTGTCGAGAGCAATGAGGCCGCAAGAGCCCCGGGGATGCTATTCGTGATCTGGTTAGTTTGCAGGTTGGGCGACAAAGTTGTTCCTCCGTTTGCCCCCAAATCGCGCTTCTCAAGGTGCCGCGTTCTCGATTGGACCGCCGCGCCAGCTGACGGCTCGCCAGACTTCGGACTCCTCTCCGGAGTTTCTTGACGTCATCATCGTGGGGCTTCAGAGGGCCTCGGAGCTGTCGCTTGTCGGCACTCGTAAATTTTCTGAAGTGGCTCTCGTCGCGTTTGGTGCAAGGTTTGTCGCGCGACGCTCATCGAGGTCCGGAGAAAGTCATAGGCCTTCTGGGCAGTCCTGCTTTGAAAGAAGCAAATCGCCTCGCCCTTGGCCCCCAGGCCGGTTCTTGGAGTCTGTCCACAGCTCTCTCGACGCTGTCCTTTTCTGGTTCGCGCCTTCGGCCTTAAGGCTCTCTTGCCACGCCGCACTCCTTCTGCCACTTCTCCTCGCGTTTTGTCTCTCTCGGCGTTCCTCGGAATGGCTCGTCTCTGACGGAGTTGGATGAGGCCTCAGTCCTCACATGGATGCACTTGAGTCACCCACAAACAAAGCTGTGGCCAAAACCGCCCGAAGGAAAAGCCTGAAAGTGCCATGCAAGATCGAACACAGCGAGCTCCGCTACCACAGCCCAGCCTCTCAAGCAGCGAAGCAAGAGGGGCACCGCCGGAAAACGGCCTTGGCCGTAGTCCAAGACTGTGCTGAGATGCGCTTGCGCGAACGTCCATAGAAGCCGTCCACCCAAATTGTTAGCATGCTCAACCCAATCTTTCGGCGCGATGTTGCACATAATCTTATAGCAACGTGTAGCCGGCGGTGCTTCCAGCGTAGGACGCATCCTGAAAATCCGCTCCTCAGTGCACATGTCAAGTGCGAGCTAAGCTCAAACGAATCTGGCTGTCCTCAGATCCCCCCTGAAAAGCAAAACAGCTGAGGGAATGGCTGGGAGCCACAAAGGAACTAATTGTTCAAAAGGATGTGCGTCACAAATAGTGCTCCAACAGGTTCCTGCTCAGTTGGCATCTGCTGTGAGACGTGTCTTCCATTGCGCTCTAAGGAGATCCATTACAAAGCACAGCCAGCAATCCAGATGTGCAAGAAACACAAGAGCAAGCGAAGCTCAATGGACGAATACTCAACATGCCCGTCATCTGCAGCCTATAGAAGGACCTTCAATGGCCTTCAGGACCTTGATCGAAGAGTTGGTTTCAGGTGCTGTACAGAGTCCCTTGCCATTCCTGGATCCGCAAAGTTTTGGTGTCGAACAAGTTTGCACAACACAAGCCCGACTTTTCACTGCTCAACGACGTACTGAAAACACCGATGCACCGATTGGAGTATATTTGACTTTGAGAGACTTCGCAGTAAAGCAACCATGCAAACATAATCATAGATGCCGAATGACGAGAGCTGCAATGAAGCGATGCTATCTTTAAACTTATGTGCCCCATGGACACGCCACGCCTTCTGCCGATTTTGCTTGTCTCCGGCCATGCAAACCAAGGCGCCTCCTTCGGAGTGTCCCCATGACTGCGAGCTGGCTGCCTTGGAGGTACGTCAGAAACCAGAGTCAAGTCAAGGCCAGCCAAAGGGGGCACGACAGGGTTGCCTGACAATATCTTGATGGGATGCAAAGGGGTAAATTGACTTAAGTGAGCAGACTGGCATGCCTTTAGACTTGTAATAGGGCCTCTTTGATCAAGTATGCATTGAAGAGACCAGCCAAGCTGATTTATCCCTACAGACCTTGACAACACCAATGTTTGCTTCTTGGGAATACCTCTAACGGCTGGCTAAGTTTGGTCTTGACAGTAAATCCCACTGCCCAACATGAAACTGGAAAAAAACTGGACACCCCCGGCAAATGTGCTAAATCTATGTTTTGTGGCAAACCGAAATGTGCCTTGGTCAACACTCCTTGCCTGCAGCATCGTGGTTCCCTCAACAGCAAGCCTTACAATGGCATCAAAACCACTTGTCAATCGGATTGCCCCCCCTACATAAACAAATTGAGCTTACCCGTGATCGATCATGAAGCCTCGTTTCAAAAGCCACTGCTTGGTTCTGCTTGGCTTTCCAACTCTATGGTAGCGAGCCACACCTTGTTTGTCGCATCCCGCCTAACACAATTTACAGAACCAAACAAAGCAAAGATTACCCACCTGCTAAACATGAACAGACCAAAAAAGGCAAACAAAAACAAGACACCACTAAAAATGGATGGATTCCCTTTTGTCTGCTTGAAACCAGCCAAAAGCGGGCCAGATCCCCCAGGTCGGTCCATGTCGAAAGCCCCAGCCGCCGTTCGCTTGAGGTTCTCCGGCTTGAGGCTCTGCAGATTGGCCATGCCCAGCTCCACTTGGAACCGGCCCTGTGGACCAGAGAGGTTTGAGCCGGTTCGGAACCGGCAGCCGGGCCCGTGCAAAATTGCTTGGTTGGGTGGTTGGGTGGTTAGTTGCTTGCTTGCTTGCTTGCTTGCTTGGTTGGTTGGGTGGTTGGTTGGTTGGTTGGTTAGTTGCTCGGTTGGGTGGTTAGTTGCTTGGTTGGTTGGTTGGTTGGTTGGTTGGTTGGTTGGTTGGTTGGTTGGTTGGTTGGTTGGTTGGTTGGTTGGTTGGTTGGATGGTTA